AAACCTCCAACAAACTTGCATTCTGCTTCCCATCCTGCCTTGCTTCTTATGACTAAAACTATCTTGAATTACAAGCTAAATAACAAGCTCTTCTCTGGTTTCCCAGGTGGCACAGCAGTTCCTCCAAGAGGTCTTTTGTCTTCTCCCTGATGTCTATTTCAGGGTCTGGTGTCCCATCTCTGTGATCCAGGACTGCACCCTGAGTGTCCCCATGCTGTCTGCCCACCTACGTTTCTGATCGTTATTGCATTCACTAGAAACCCTGAATTGGACATCAGGAGGAAGATAAAAGACCTCTTGGAGGAACTGCTGTGCTACTGATGATGGAAAGGAATAGCCATACAACTTGATGCAGGGTAAATGTACAGGCAAAGGTAGAGTAGCTCCAACTTCAGAAGGTGGAAGTTGAATATATATGTAAGATGACCGAGTGATGTGTTCAACCCAGAATGTGCCTTTGCCATGCCTTTTTTCCTAATATAAAAATAAGGATGTTATTGCTAGAATTTCTGTTCAGCTAGCACTGCTCTGTTCTTGAGCCATTTGTTGATTTTAGTTGTTTTCCTCCATTCGGCTTATGTTACCAAATGGGTCATAAAAAACATCTATTTGAAGTGTTATAGCTTAAACATATATTGTTTTGTGAAGACTTTTTAGACATTGTATTTCAGCAGAGATGCATTTGAAAACCATATTCTCGTGTCAATTGTATGCAGTCTGAAATCCTTCGATCTTGTAAACTCTTGCCAATATCCCTTGCCAATAGCCAAACCTCTGAACTATACCTTTTAGGTAAAGGGCAACAGCTATTTCATGTCTATTTGCCAATAATTTTCTCTGCTCCTGCTTGAGTTAGTACCGAATTCTTATAGCTAGTCTGCCTTAATGATTGACTGAAATCGTGTGAAAATAAAGCTCAAGGCCCATCTGCTCTTCTAGTTTTCATCCAAGATTCCCTGGAAAGGAAGTACACTGGAGACCAAATATTTGCCATAGCTGTATATGGCTGTAGTTTTGGAAGACATCCCAGTATGGGAAAATACAGTACTGGATTATTTCAAATGTTAGTTCCCTTTTTCTCTCTCTCCTTCCCTCCTTTACTATTATATAAAAATTCTAACTCTCTCTATGGATTTGCCTGATTTCGTAGTATTTAATGTCTGCAGGAGATTGAGATACGTGTTTTAGCACAACAATAAAGCAGACTTTTAGAATGGATAACGAGTAATAACCATTATTACAGTTGGAAATAAAAATAGATAGTATAATGTAATAGTATGGCAATATGCGCTTGTGTGGAGTGCTGCTACAACTATCTCTGGGAAATTTCAGATTCACTGTGGTTTATTTCTTGTTGCTTGAGGTGTTCCCCCTTTCTAAAACATCCTTCACCCTCTTTCCACCTATCTGTAGTCTCTAATTGCTTCAGATTCTATTCATTATATGTACAGCATCTGACGCTCTTAGGTAATCATCATTCATTCTGATTCCTAAATTCCTTCAATACTTGTTACACTAGATAAGAAGTTGGGAAACTTTTTCTGTAAAAGCTCAGATAGTAAATAGTTTAGTTTTGTGGGCCATATCATATCTATTGCAATATTCTACTGCTGCATGAAAACAGTCATAGAAAATACATAAATGCATGATGTGTAACTGTGCTCCAATAAAACTTTGTTTACAAAAGCAATCTGTGAGCTGGATTGGGCCTGCAGGCCATAGTCTGCTAACCCTTGGTGATTGACACTATTTTGGAGTTTTCAAAGCTTGAGAGAAACTTCGTTAAATTTACTCATATTACCTGTGTGTTACCTGTAGGAAACGGGTACACACACACACACACACACACACACACACACACACACATATAATCTGTCCAAAGTAGTGAGAACAGCAAAATGCAGCATAATATTCTCCAGGAGAAAAGATAGTAATTGTAGCATTTTTAGCTTAATAATAAGATTATAGATTATGTTTTAATTTGGAAGAATGTGAAATTGTGAGTGCTTTACATTCTGAGCATAATTTTTCAGTCACCTTTTTAAAAACAATTTCTTATTTGCCTTGATCTTCACTAATCTCAATTTAATTCTATTATTTTGAATAATTATATATATTTTTTAAATTATTACTTTAATTTTTAAAATTTTTTAAAATTGATTTTAATTGATTTTTTAGATTAGTAAAAAAATGTAAAATTTGAGACTCTGATCAATTTGTCACAGAAGCCAATTTGTTTAATGTAATAACTCTATATTATGGTTTTATAAATGTTACATTTAAATTCTAAATTTAAATTAGCTGATGGATCATTTAAGCAATTATCAACTTATTTTAATTACATTAAATGCAATAATATATATGCATTGGATATTCCCCTTTAGAAATGTGTCATGCATTATTATCAAGTGTCGACTAGCCTGATCGAGCATGTATGGCCTAGGATAAATTTATCCTAGCGTGATCCTGTTGATTTCCCATGTGGGTTTCTTCCTCCGCTTCTTCATATTTCTACTCAAATGCTACCTGATTATTTTGTCAAAGCTTTCCTTGACAAGGCAGCATAAAATAGCAATTTTCTTCCTTTCCACCTCACTCCGAACCTCCCTGTCCACTGTTTTATATTTAATGTTCCTTCCTAGTATTAATTACCATAGCATAATATAAATTAACATTTTTTTGTTGAGACATTTCTTCCCACTAAAACATATGCTGTACAAGGGCAGGACGTTGTTAATTTCACCTTCAGCTGCACTTCAGTGCTTGGTCCAACATAGGCAATTGATGCATATTTAAATGAGTGAAATGAAAATGAGTGTATGTTAGCACATTTTTAAAATAATGGGAACATTAGAAGTAATGATTACTCCAATTAAAGGCAAAACTTATCTTGAAAATTATAAAATGTTATACTCAAATGCATCAAAAGTAAGAAAATCAATGAAATATGTTTGTGCTCACTTACAGCTAAAGAGAGAAGTAAATGTTTTCAATTAATATGAAATTCTTCACTTTAGATGATAGCTTTGTGAATTGATACTTTTAAAACAAATTTTATGTTTTTTTTCATTCTTTCGCATTTAACTTTCTGGGGAACTTATTTATATACACATGCCCTGTTTCCCAGAGGTGTTTGCAGTATAACTAAGCAAAAGAAACAATTTAAAAATATTATATGAAGATGAACTTACTCATTTTAATTTCCAATTTGTATAAAATTGAGTGGTGAGACAATATATAATAATTCATTTCTCCAGTGTCATTGGAGACTTCACTTAAGTGAATTTACAAGAAAATTAGTTTATTCTTTCTGTTGCTAAATTTTTTTTGCTTATAAATTTCTGAGAAACCATGTTTGACTATATAGAGAGAAATTTTCTGTTTTATTAAACAGTTCTAAGCATAAACGTTTGTTGAGAATTTAAGACCACCACTCTAAAAATTAAGAGTTGTGCCATGTTATAATATGAGATCATACTTCCAGACTCTTCGAGGTTCATCGGGTTTAGTACAGTCATTCATGTATTCTGCAAATGTTTTTAGAGTATGTGCCAAGTACCTTGTTCAGATCACTGAAGAGTAAGCATTAGGCCAACTATCTAAAACTTCATTTCAGCTAGCGCTTGCTGACTAGTGGGAGAGAAAGGCAGCAAAACAATTAAATCAGTAACAACATAAGATGTCAGTTGGTGCTAAGTGTTATGGTGGAAAATCGAGCAGGCTGTGTGTACAGAGGCTGATGGCAACAAAATGCTGGGTGAACTAGCAAAGCACATCTGCAATGGCAAAGGTTACAAGAGAGGATACTTGGAATAGTCTTTGCAAAGGCTTACAGCAGAGGCAGCCTTGTTTTTAAAGGAAGAGGAAGGAGGCCATTGTGGCTAGACAGGTCAAGGACATGGGGAAAGACATGAGAGGAGTGCTGTGGCCATCATAGCCCACTGGGTGGCCGGGTGGTGACAGGGGGACTTCAACCAGTATGAACAGTATGCCAAGTTGAGAGCAGGAGCCTGAGAACATTTGAGTATAGCAGCCACCTGTTCACTTACAGTTTAAAAAGTGTTTCTTCAGTGCTGCAGGTGGAAGAACTGCAGCAGAATAAGAGGGGATGCAGGAAGATCACACGGTCTTTTGTGACAGTGATCTCTGGAAGCTGTGTGTGCCTCTTCTGTAGCTATGGAGTTGAAGCGAGGCAGTAGGATTTGGAACATTCTGGCAATCAGAGGACGTAGCCCTCCATGCCGTCTCCCAGAGAGGGAGGGTAGACTCAGAGAGTCCCAGCCACGCTAACATTAGGAACACTTATGCATTAGCAAAATGAGAAAGATCCATCAAAGGAATCAGAGAGCAAGCAGCTAATGAGAAAAAAGAAAAAAAAAGTGTTAATGACATTATAAAAGCCAAGTGCAGAAAGTGTTACAAATAGAATTGAGCTATCGCTGGTTCCAGTGCAGTTGACTGGTTGAGTATGATGGAAACTGATTAACTTTTCTGGCAGTAATAATTTTCAAGTTGATGATTATTGTGTGTTCCCTTGCTGATGTCTAGTTATTTCTTCTAGTAAGAACATGTAACATGAGATCTGCCTTGATAAGTGTGCAGTATTATCTAGAGTTACAATATTGCAAATGAGATCTCCAGAACGTAGTCATCTCGCATAACTGAAACATTGTACATGTTGGTTAGCAATTTCCCATTCTTGGTCTCTTAGCTTTGGTAGGAGTCCTCTTTGTCTTTCCTCCCCCAACCTCAGTGACTCTAGTGCCCTGTTCCTGTAATGTATAAATACTTGAAGATTTCCAGGAGATGCCAGACACCAAAGCTTGTTACAGGATTTGCTTATGATTCTCAGACAGCAAATCTGAGTTGAGGTCCTTCAGAGTCATGTACTTTGCTGTGGTTTTCCTCCTAAAATTAGAGGGTTCTATAAACTGGTCCTGTATTTTATTATGTTTAGCGTAACAGAATTGCCTAAGTTCGTTTGCTAAATGTTGTTTCAAAGATTTATAAAAGACATGCCAGATTCAAGGATTATTTTAACCAACACATACACAGAAATATTTATTGAGTCTCTCTCTCTCTGTCTTTTGTTTTTAGAAAAATGTGATGAGCCCCTTGTCTCTGGACTCCCCCATGTGTCTTTCAGCAGCTCCTCCTCCATGTCTGGTAGCTATTCTCCCGGCTATGCCAAGATAAACAAGCGAGGAGGTAAGCCAACTTTTGATTCTTTTATCAATAATCGTGTTAAATAAGAGCATGTTATATTTATAACTGTATATGTATATATAACATATATGTCATATATGTATATTCTTGCCACTCCTATTAAAAAAAATATCCTTAGATACCACGAACCTCTCATGTAATCTCTGTTGGGGAATAACAGAAAAATTTAGGCTGGAAGTTAGAGATAGTAAGTCAAAATGGAAGACATTTTGTAGTTGCCTGAAATAATAAAGTCAAAATGGCATAAACACTTACAGTTAAAATTCCTATAAAACGGGCTAGTGCCTGTAATATCAGCACTTTGGGAGGTCAAGAAGGATAGATCACAAGGTCAGGAGTTCGAGACCAACATGATGAAACCCCATCTCTACTAAAGATAGACAAAATTAGCTGGGCCCAGTGGTGGGTGCCTGTAATCCCAGCTATGCTGGAGGCTGAGGCAGGAGAATCTCTTAAACCCTGGAGGTGGAGGTTGCAGTGAGCCAAGCACTCCAGCCTGGGCGACAGGGTGAGACTCCACCTCAAAAAAATTTCTGTTAATCAAAAATCACTTAAAGATGTAAAAGAGTTTACTCCTAAAATACATACACTGTATTAAAAAGAGCACTTTGTATCTACTGTATATTAATGTAAAAACTTAGTTCCTATTAAAGATGCAAATGGCCTTTTAATTTTTCCTCCAGGACCCAGAATATAGCTCTATTATAAAATCTGTGTAAAAATAGCTAGATGTGTTCAACTACAACTTGAGTTCTTGACCTTAAATCATGGTATTCGGCAGTTTCAAATTTTATAGCAATTCATTCAGAGTAAAAGAACATAATTAGGCCGGGCATGGTGGCTCACGCCTGTAATCCCAGCACTTTGGGAGGCTGATGCCGGTGGATCATGAGGTCAAAAGATTGAGACCATCCTGGTCAACATGGTGAAACCCCATCTCTACTAAAAATGCAAAAAATTAGCTGGGCATGGTGGCGCGTGCCTGTAATCCCAGCTACTCAGGAGGCTGAGGCAGGAGAATTGCCTGAACCCAGGAGGCGGAGGTTGTGGTGAGCCGAGATCGCGCCATTGCACTCCAGCCTGGGTAACAAGAGCGAAACTCTGTCTCAAAAAAAAAAAAAAAAAAAAAAAAAAAAAAGAACATGATTAAGGACAGCGGCAAAAACTCTTTTGCTTCAAAGGAGCACTGGTAGAACTACTGGTGAATAGCAACTTAAAAAGGAAGGAAACAATATTATCTTAGGTAAATATGAGTCAACAAACAAAGACCATGATATTTTATTCAGTAAAACAGTAATGATGGTTGACAGGGGCTTGGGTGGAGAGGGAGAAAAAATAGAGATAGTTGTTAAAAGGTACAAAGTTTTAGTTAGATGATATAAATAAGTTTTGGATATCCATTGTATAGCATGGTGACTATAGTTAATAATGTGTTGCCATGGATACAGGGAGGTGAGCATCACACACTGACCTCTGTTGGTGGGGGCTAGGGGAGGGACAGTGGTGGGGGACAGGTTGGGAGGGATAACGTGGAAAGAAATGCCAAATATAGGTTACCAGGGGATGGAGGCAGCAAGCCACATTCCATGTATGTAACTGTGCAACATGCTGGATGATCAACAATCCTGCATAATCCCAGAACCTAAAGTGCGATACATAATAATAATAATATGTTGCATGCTTGAGAATTGTTAAAATAACAGCGTTTAAGTGGTCTCGCCCTTTAGAAAAAATAATTGTGTCGTCATGGATATATTATTGAGTTAATTATTTTACAATACATATCTCAAAACACCATGTAGAAAACAATAAATATATAATTTTTTTGTGATTGCACCTTAGTAAAGCTAAAAGGAAAATAAAAAACGTGAAATCATAAAATAAATCTTGAATCAACCAATTCTAGAAATAAAAAAATAAAAGGGAAAGGATACAAGGGAAGAAGAGAGGGAAGGAGAAAGGGAGAGAGGGAGGGAGGGAGGAAGGAAGGAAGGAAGGAAGGGAGGGAGGAGGGAGGGAGGGAAGGAGAGAGAAAGGACTATAACAAAGATGAAAAAAGAGAGCAGGAGGAAACTCAAAATAAAAACGAGGAAATACTAAAGAGGGGAAGAAAAAATATTGCATCAGTAAAGAAAGGCATATCAGGTTTAGGAAGACCAAAAGCCGAGAAGAATATAGATTAGAAAAAGCTGGCCTAGTATATACAGAATAATATAAGGTATTCACAGAAGGATGAAGCGGTCTCAATCAGTAAAAAGACTTTGTGAAAGAGTGATATACAAGCAAAGGTAGAGGAACATAACAAAAATGCAGTTTTAATGTAATATTAGTATAAATTAGCTCATTTTTATAACGATATTCATCAGGCAATGGACATGAAAGTATTGTTTTATAAGTTATCAAAAGTTCTGCCTAAAGATAATAAAAATTTAAATTTATTTCTCTCTTGTAAAAGTCATTGGAAACAACTATAAAACAATGAATATAGACAGAAAAACATGATGCAACGGACTGTCCATACCCAAATGATAATTACAATACAGACCGTCGAGTATTAGAAAATCTAGAACAAAATATAAAAAAGAGATACCATATAAATTTAGGTGCCAAGAGAATGTATTTTTCCCTAAAATAAGTGCCATCACACCAAGAGACCTAAAGCAACTGAAACGAATGGAAGCAGAGTCAGAAAATGCTACTTTCCAAAGTTTTGAGGGAAGATATGACTGAAGAATATGACAGTAAATCTGGGCAAGTCAGGTTCTGTCATGCCTACAGCACTTCAGGAATACAAACGATATAATCGAGTCAACAATGAAAAAACAAAGTGCTCAATAAAGAAATTGTGGCCAAGTGACTGGTGTTGAGTAAGAAAATTTTTTTTTCTTTCTTTTAAAATTGTATTTTGGGCTCTGGGGTATATGTACACCTCTTACATAGGTACTTACATGCCATGGTGGTTTGCTGTCTCCATCCACGCTCCCCACCACTGACACCTGTATCAGGCATTTCTCCCGGTGTTATCCCTCCCCATCTTCCCACTGTTCCTCCCCTTCCTTTCCCTCTACCCCCTGACCTAGCCCCGTGAGTGTTCTTCCCTTCCCTGTGCCCAAGTGTTCTCATTGTTCATCACCCACCTATGAATGAAAACATGCAGTGTTTGGTTTTCTGTTCTTTTGTCAGTTTGCTGAGAATGATGGTTTCTAGATTCATCCATGTCTCTATGGAGGACAGGAACCCATTATTTTTTATGGCTGCATAGTATTCCATGGTGTAGATGTGCCACATTTTCTTTATCCATTCTATCATTGATGGGCATTTTGGTTGGTCCAGGTCTTTGCTCTCATAAACAGTGCTGCAAAGAAATATGTGTGTGTGAGTCTTTATAATAGAACAATGTATAGTCCTTTGTGTATATACCCAGTAATGGGATTGCTGGGTCGAATGGAATTTCTATTTATAGATTCCTGAGGAATTTGTCTTCGATAATGGAACTGATTTCAATATAAGGCCTACTAAACATCGTAGGTGCTCTAGTTGCAGGACGGAGTATAAATGTTATAGGCACAGAAATTTTAAAGTGTTAATTGTGGGAATTAGAGAGATGTGGGTATTTTTTCTTTCTAACTTTTTAGAGCAGTAGACTACCAGATGCTGAAACTTTACATACAGATTTATTTTGCCTTTGACTTTTTTACGGGAATTAATACCTTTTATAAAAAAAATACTTTTTTTGCTCTCATTTAATTCTAGAAAAGTTTAATTATTTTTTACTTGTTTCAACATAATAAAAGATACCACATTACATCATTTAGAACTACTTATGTATATACTCATATACAGAGAGAGTGAGATATCTCATATTAAGCTTCTAAAATGTTAATCCAGCCATCATGCTGGACTGACTTTTGTTTTTTTAGTAGAGGTAGGGTTGTGCCATGTTGGCCAGGCTGGACAACAAAATATTTTATTCCACTACAAAGTTCATATGCAAATATGCTTGGGAGAAGAGTCATGTTGGGTAAAACATATAATAAGATATTCATGGTTAATAGCCTGTATTGAGAGAAAGGAAATTTCTTTTTTAAGTATAGCATGATGTTACCTATCTGGAAGATAAAAAGAAGACCGAGAATTCCAAACAAAATGTTGGAGATGTATTTTCTTAATTTGCAAGTGGCAAGGGTCATCTGTTACAGACACCTTATACGCATCTGAGAGTGAGAAGATAATATACTAACAGAACAATACAAGAATTTAACCTACTAATTATACATATGTAGAAAAGAACAAATTCAGTGGAATATTATGTTGACAAACATTGACTTCAAGTTTTATTATTTACTTAAATGATACTCCTAAAATACATTTTGGAGAGAGGGTTTATAAATGCATAGAAAAGCACAGTATAAGTGAAATATTTGGATAACAGAGTGTCACATATTTATAAAATCGAATTTAGGTTATGAGTCTCCATAATCCAAATCCATCTGCTACAATCTTGATGTCAGGGACCAATACATGGCAAAGGTTGGGGAAAATGTGACGTTAAAAATGAAAAATCCATGTGTAATTCTAACGTGTCTTTTGGAGCCGGCTGCTTTTAGTCTGTCGGTGCTTTTGTTGTTTTGTTTCAATGCCTTATTCCTGTGATGTGTGCTCTGAGGTATCCCCACATTTTCATCCACTGAAGACTTCCCAGTCTTGTGTCATTCTGGGTTAATAGCAGTTAGATGCGCTACTCTTTCCAAGGTTAGCACAGATACAAAACATTTGAAAGTTGGATACAGTATATCCTATAACTTATTTTCAGTATAGCATTTTACAGATTATAAACTGTTTTCATCTGTGTTCTATTTGTTTCTCAATCTTCATAACAATCTGATTAGAAAGAATGGTAAGTTAGAGATGCCAATCAATTCTTCTGCCAGCTTTCAACCTTGTGCTTCATATGCCTTTTGTAGAAATCAGCCTGTTTAATA